GGTCATTTTTAATTTATTTATTTCCCAAAAAGCAAAAAAAAAAAAAATAATTGTCAAAAGGAAAAAGAAAAAAAAAAAAACACTGCGAAGACTATCTAACAAGTATTACTAGTAAAGAGAAACAAACAGGGCTGTCTCTTATACACATCTAGATGTGTATAAGAGACAGGAAAAGTACCAGGAAAGTGTACACACACCTCGGTCCCAGCATGGTTTGAGCACTATAGGCGAAAAAAACTATATGAATGTAGAGAAACTCCTGCCCGCGAATACCATTCTCGCACTTAAAATGGGTCATTAAACGTTATTAAAGTAATATAATTGATTATTATAATCGTAGTACAATATATTTTTTTCATGAAGTAAAATAAAAATATTTATCATTATATTGAAGCATAGTGGAATAGGCCTAATATCATTGATGTATTATTAAACATGATTTAAGAAGACCAGTACGTCTTGATAATTTGGTTTCATATCATTTATAATCAGTCTGTCTTTTATCTTTGCATTAGATACATTTTTGTATTATCAGTTTTCACAATATTTATTTATTTATGTGATAACACTTTCAGTAACATAGTACTGGTTTCAATAGTGGATCACAGATCAATAAGAAATATTCAGAGTACATCAAATATCATTAAAATTAATACAAAACAAGATATACAAATGCGACAAAATCAAATTAATAACATAATATACAGTAAATCTGTGGAAAGGAACTGGCCACCATACCACACAATACCGAGGCTTAGTACAATGGGCTCACAGCTTATTCCCCTGTGTTAAGTAATGAACACGGGACTACCTTTACCTTTACCTTACAGTAAATCTAAATGCTATAATAAAAAAGAAAATAGCTATGTACATTGAGTACAAGGTAAATAAACAAATAAAGGATATACTATAAATACTGTAGTTTTAAATATTGTTTAATAAACTTTAAAAAAAATGTAAAGTTAGTTCATTAAGATTAGTCTTTATGTTGTTTGGAAGATTATTCCACTCCAATGCCTTGGTTGCCCGTTATAGAAATGTTCTTTAACCTTGTACTCGTTTCTCTTTTCTCCATTAAGTGGTATTTGATTTTCGTGAACACAATGAGTGAATTGTTGTTAAATACAAATGTGTTAATTAGGTAAGGTAGGGCAATTTCTCTAAGACCTTTAAAAGTTAACAATAGGAGATATTCATTCCATCTATATTATTATGGCATACGGTAATGCTTTATTTTCACTTTAAACAGATCTGGACAAGAAGTAGCGTCACGGCCAAAAACCAGACGATCTGCAGGTTTATTCAACCGCGTGTGGACAGCAGTACTTCATCTGCTGTGTATTCGAAGAAATGATGAAACAACAACAAATAATAACGCTGATAATAATCAACAAACCAGAAATTCAGTTGCTGATTTAAGGAATCAGCCTGAGGCTAAACTTACAGAAGAACATCCCAGACATCAATCTTATGCAAGCACCAGCCATAAACAATCTGTCACTTCAAAAACTAAGATCATCTCGACTCCAAGAAAGTCGGAAAATGTTCCTTCAACATCACCCGATCCCAAGGCTACATCGACTCCTCTTGGCACCAGCTACTTAACTTCTGAAATAATTTCACAATTCAATCTATCAATTGGTGTATTTGTCCCATCCGTGGTTGATACCAGCTCAACATCTGAAATTTCGTCATTAAATCTATCATGTGAGGAGATCTCATCAAATTTTGACGCTTGCTCAACACTAGAAAGTTCGTCATTAAACCTATCATCTGGTGAGGTGACCCCTTCGAATTTTGATACCAGCTCAACATACAAAAATTTGTCATTAAATCTATCGTATGATGAAGTGCCATCGAGTTTGTATATCAGTTCAGCATCTGAAAATTCTGCATTATGTCTATCGCCCGGTGAAGTGATCACTTCGATTTTTGATGTCAGCTCAACATCTGAAAGTTCTGATTTAAATCTGTCACCCGGTGAAGTGATCCCAGCGATGTTTGATGTATAAGAGACAGTGTGAGGAGATCTCATCAAATTTTGACGCTTGCTCAACACTAGAAAGTTCGTCATTAAACCTATCATCTGGTGAGGTGACCCCTTCGAATTTTGATACCAGCTCAACATACAAAAATTTGTCTTTAAATCTATCGTATGATGAAGTGCCATCGAGTTTTTATATCAGTTCAGCGTCTAACAGTTCTGCATTATGTCTATCGCCCGGTGAAGTGATCACTTCGATTTTCGATGTCAGCTCAACATCTGAAAGTTCTGATTTAAATCTGTCACCCGGTGAAGTGATCCCAGCGATGTTTGATGTCAGCACAACAAGTGAAATTTCGTCATTAAATCTATCACCCGGTGAAGTTATCCCGCTGATGTTTGATGATGTTAGTTCAACTTCTGAAAGTTCTGATTTATATCTGTCACCCGGTGAGGTGATCCCGTTGATGTTTGATGTCAGCTCAAGTGGTATCGGAAACAAAGATTTGTCAAAACTTGGAGATATGTTTGCCTCGGGCTCCACGATGATGCTTAACCAAATCTAGATCTTCTCACTGATGCCTCATAACTGAACAGAATGCTTTCGTAAACCCATATTGTATATCTGTTCTACTTTAGAGATCATACATCCTTCATGTTACATACAGAATAGTTCTTTGGAATAATTTCTTAGACTATGACAGCTAGCACAGACGCTGTGCTGTTCACTTGTACCCACATATCAATGTGAGTTCTTTTGAAGAAATGGAATCAATCAACTTTTAACACA